TATCGCTTATACCCAGCTGTCGTCTGTCGTACCGCGATTTATTCGCTGTAGCCGCTCCAGGTCAGACGAAACCACGTGGAGGTCAGCAGATGACGTGAAGACGGTGTGAAGAAACACACAGAGCTATTAGGTAGAGTAAGTGTCTCGCACCTTCCTATCAATACAGAAAGAAGACAAATGCCGAGATGTTAACACTTCGTTTAATCGTCTCAATAGCTGACTTAGAACAAACAGGCACATGGAGTTGATCAATTAACGATTAAAAAATATTAACATCTGGCAGTATTTGTCTTCTTTCCGTATTGACGAAATGGATAAATGAGACCCAATGCTTTGAACTCTGCAAATGGTTGGTTGGAGATATTGAACGACATGGCAGCGAACCGACAAGTGGCGTTCTTGTTGTCATTTCTCATCAGGCCAGAACGCTTGAAGCGGTATGTATGCAGAGTTCGATTGTGCACTCTCTATGTGTTGACCATAGTGGTTCCGCTTCTTCCCCTTCCCTCAAAATAGGTCCAATTCCTGCCTACCTTAAATTTTACCACTAACCTTTTATGCATTGCGAGTTTGGCATCGATCGATTAAGTTCGCTTAACTGTGTTTACCTGAACGATGTTATCAAAAACATTATTCGTACTGCCTGCATGCAAGGCAGAGTTCTTCCAGTTGTTTATTCATGTTGGGCCAGTAGATGTAGCTATGAGCCAGAAATTTCATACGGTTGATCCCTGAATATCAGACAGGAAACTGTCGCCTGTGGAACTTCGAGCACACGGATTCAGTAAGCAAACAAAATGCAACCGTTGACAACGGACAGGGCTTGTTTACGTCGCTCGAATGACTTGAGTTTCTCTGGAACCGTTTTTGGGCGTATGATGAAATCGTATGACTTTCCTCAACACCAAATAGCGTTGCGTAGCTTGGTAAACATCATCTGCAGTGACTAGCAGAAGGTGGGTGGATTGAAACAACCCACAATGCGTGTTAATAGTCAACACCTCTTGTGCGACGCCTGAAACCCAGATCTGCAGGTAAGTGTCGGATAGATCCCTTTGAGCAAAACTTTCTGCCACAATTTGATTTAGCAAATAATCAAACAATTACCATTAGTGATGTGTTTGGCTTAAAATTCGACATGAACAGAAACCCGGATTCGAACACGAGAGACACGAAACACACCCATGAACAAACACTTACATGCCAAACAAAAGGCCACCCATATGCGCTGCATGATCGATCGGGCTTCGTGAGGCGATCAGGAAAGCCGCGCCGAATTCGAGCATCAACAAAGTCCACGCCGCGCTCTTGGCCTCAAACGAGTGTGGGAACAGATCCACGACAAACGGCACGCACAATCGGGCATGCGGTTGAAGCATACAAAACGCGCCCAGTACCGCACAAATCCCCCCACTGGCTCCCAGTGACGGAACTGGAGAACGGCGAGCAGCTTTGCTGAGCAGACTGAGAAAACTGGAGAACACACCTGAGAATGAAATAGGGGAACAAATTAAAAGAGACTGGACTAATACAAATCGAAACTATTCATCGAGGTGACTCTCGTCATCACTCCCACCCACCCCCTGATTATCAGTTGCATAGGATATGAAGCATATACGGTGGACCGGTGCATCACGAGGATGACGGAATAAATCAAGAACACTCACCTCCTCCAACATACAAAGCGAGAAAATCCCCCGCTCCGATTGTGCCAATTAGACTGGCCGCGAAACTGTGCAACACGTACATATTGATGCCCAAATGGAATAGACTGTGATGCGAGAACACGCTCAACAGCATGGACAGGGCAGGAGTGGCTAACCTCAGTGTTTCCGGGGGGGGGGGGGGNGGGGTGATGGGGGCGGAAGAATGAGTGAGTGGAAAAAAGTGATTAGTTAATAAAAGTTTAGGAACATTGCAGCGGGATTTTGTTCAACATCGGTTGATTGATTTGAATTGATAATTCACAGGCTTTCACCGATTAGTTTATTACCGAAATACTTTTGAATTATTATTACCACAAATCATACAGGGCATACAACTGAACGAAACATTGTTATAAACATTCACCGAGTGGATATAATCTGTTGGTGCACGGACACACAAAGTATTAAAGCAATTATTTCCCTAAATAAACTTGAACAAAGAACGCACCACTGCAAGCGAGTACGATTTAATTCCGGAATCATTTCGCTTTACAAACTATACAAATCATTTTTGATTACGTGTTGGAGAAACAAAGCCAGTTGGACATTCTGCTTTCTGTCCTGGAACGTCTACTAATTCTATGCACAAGAGATGCATATTTGTTTTCGAGGTCAACCATTTATACAAGTCGATGGGGTGGTTATGGGCAGCCCGTTGGATNAGCAGACATTCATAGTTAGCGATGAGAACAAAGCCGGTAGGACAATGAATGTGCTCTACAGGAGATAGGTCGAAGACACGTTGATAATCACCCGAAGCGCTAGAGGATCGAGGATTTGTTAGCTGAATTGAATTTACTTCACAGGGACATCCAATTCACTAAAGAAAATGAGCAAAACAACACAATCCCATTTCTAGATAATGGTATTGGGTAAAGACCAGACGGAACTGTTTAGAGGTCAGTGCATCGAAAATCCACGTGGACCGGCCAGTGTACGTATTTTGGGAGTTTTGCTCTAATTCAATAAAACCGAATTCTTGTGAGTCCCCTATTTGATGATGCTGGGAGACTGTGTACTCTGGATAATGTGGAAAGTTAATTCGGCTCACGGGAGCTCTAAAGCTCAATGGTTACCCAGCGAGGTTTATACAAAGGTACAGTGTAAAAGCCGAGCCCAAGACCTAAGGGGTGACAGCACAAAAACGCGACGTTCTCACTCAACCGTCGTCCAAAGGTGATGGTGTAGGCCAACTCGTACGAAGATAGTTGGTGGCATCCGTAGCCCGCACATATCTTGCTGCAAATCCGGTCGCTCGCTTCAGATTCCGAAGCCCTTGGTGAAATCACCAATCCCTCTGTCCATCACATGACACAATCTGTGGATTTTTAATGGGGGTGCGGGGACACCTACGTGGAGAGAACAGAGAGGCAGCTGCGTACTCCAGTGGCAGAACACATAACAGCATGAATCGAACGCGAGGGGATCAAACTGAGGGCTACAGAAACAACGAGACCATAAAGCAAGGCACACAGAACACCTGCGTCGTCAATTTTTCATCATCTGATGCAGAGACTGGCTGCCAAGCCAAGAGCGGGACTTCTTCTCGGGTTGGTTACACAACCTCGGATTGACGGCTGCTAAGGTTTGCAGAGGCCATAGCAAACAAGAGCAGAAAACCCCTGCTGTGTCATCAAATGGAGATCAACATCAATCTGGCATTCACTCGTAACCACGTAAGCCACACCATGTTAGATTATTGAAACAAACAGACTAGAAACTGGGCATAACCGGTGGGGAAACTTGTTACGTCACATTCGGAGAGAAAAGATTTTACCTGTCTGTATACTGCATCGTCAGAAGCCCCCTGTTTTCAGTTCACTATAAGCATACATAGTGTTGGCAGTCAAGTGTTTTAAGTTGCTGTCAATAACGTGCTCCGAAACCGCCCTGAATTGCTGCCATTCCGTTTTGTTGATCGGCAGCTCTACTGCTATCCGACCTTATACTACGCCCAACTCGTTTGGGGACTTATGCAATTCACCACTGCCAGTTCCATAACAAAATTTACGGGTTCTTATAACCAAATAGTAAGTGTTTGTGTGTTGTTTTTCACACACGCCTGAATCCAGACTATGCACCGAAAAAATAACAGAAAAAAGTTCGTGAGTGGAATACTGCCAGGTTTCCCAAGCCAAAGTAGGAGGATTTTCTTAGGGATTTTACAAACGGAGCCCTTGACCAGCCAAAGCCAGAACCACAAAGCAGCGTGCGAGGCGACGTGTGAAAACCACAATCAGTTGGAGGCCGGTGTTCAATTCATCAGATCACACCTTTGGACGGGGTCAAACGCCCAAGAAGCTCAATACACCCTCATGCCGGATCAAACCGATGACCCCTGCCACAACTAACAAGGTGTTAGTGTGGGTGGTTCATACGCCTCTTCTTGGTTGGTTTGGATTTTTAGCCAACTCCCCTAGAGGAACTGCCAATGTTCCACCGACCCGGTTATAGCCCCGGGTGTCGGCTTTTCTTCCTCTCACTTTGGTGAGTACACAAATCCGGTCCACGAGAAGGCAGTGAATAGGGCTTCCTCAGTAGAATTGGCTTATTGAGGCACTTGGTCGGGTAGGAGCATTTCACGAGGTACAACAGCAGGGTAACCAGCCACAGCTCAAGACATTCACCTCGACAATACTGAGGCTTTTGGAAGGTTTATTCCTTCGTCACACCTGATCAAAACAAACGGGCAGAGATTAACTCTATTTTTTTCTTTTCATTTTACTTTTTTGTGTGGAAGTGATAAGAATACAATTTCCCGAAAGAGGAAAGTGGTCAAACCGACGGCTGCCATACAACGCAGAATGGCGAAAGTCAGGTGGTGGTAGTGGGACTGGAACACACCTTCCCCTGGAGCGATAATTTGGTGACCTTTACCTCTCGGTCACCGCAGAGAGGTAGGCGAATCCATTTGGAAAGCAATATTTTTCACGCCTAAGGTGAGATCGACATAGCACATCTGGTTATGCCTCATTAGAACCGCCTCCGTAAGCCCCAGTATTGTCGTGGACGGGTGTCTTGGGTTGTGGCTAATCCCTCCACCCTTGCACCTCGCGAAGTGCTCCCATCCGACCAAGCGTTTCAAATAATCTATTCTATAAACGAAGCCCTATTCACTGCCTTCCCCTGGCGGTGTTTTCCTACCAAAACGAGAGAGTCTGTATGATCCGGTTACCAAAACCATGTTTCTGGTTGGTGAAATTCTTGTATTTTATCTAAAGTGCGATGCCAGTTTTGTTGGTACTTATGCAATAAAGATACACGCCAGGATCTAGGTGTGTAGGATTATCGCTTCAAATTCTGATATGAATATATTTTATTTGATAAAGAAACATCAGATTCTTCACTACTTCTAGATATCACTCATCAAATGTGATCGCATCATGACGGCTTCGGCAACCAGTTCCAAAAAACAAACAATGGTTCACTGAATTAGACAAATCAATGGAATAGTCTTATACCCAAGTAAGCCAACCATGAACAAACAGATGAACTCACGTCCATATGGACTGTTAACGAATCGCCGAAGAAACCATGGACCAAGTGGGCTTCGTTGTCCCAGGAAGACCAACAGGTTACAGAACAAAATACCTAAGATCAACAAGTTTGTGTGTGGACAGAAAATCAGTTCCGGTTAGAAATAGCATGTACCCCAATAGACATCAGTCCCGACTATCGGTCTTCCCAGAGTGGACTCTATCCGGCGTCTAATCTGTGAATAAAAAGATGGGCATAAAGAAAACAAAACTAGCCTACCGAAGTGAAGACACCATCCGCGCGATACGGAGATTTTCTGAGCGCACTTCGTTCTTTCGCTCGGGCTGTTTTGCGACGCCATCGCTCGAAATCCCAAATCACCGTACCGATAAATATGGCATTGACTGAGACGAACGTAAACAGACCACACCGGGCAAGTAGCTTGACCGATACGGGGCCGGCCACATGGGGAACAGCAGCACCGGGACTGGACCGGGATTTGATGCGCGCCTTCGCAGCAGACCACAGCGAGAAAGTACGGGTATCTGGGCCGGCTGGAACAAACCAGAGATGGTCGAGGGAAATGTTTTCGGTACAAAAAAAGCCATCACAACAAAGTATACACAGTATGAAGATAAAGATGAGGCCGAGCAAAACACGGATACGACGAACAAGCATCGACGTTTCGTTCTGTAGCTGTTGACCCGTACTGAATCGTCGAGACGTACAGCTCAAAGTGGGCTACTAACCGGGACCCAGTAGAGAAGTGAACGCCCAGCCTTGAAACTTGGAGTAGTCCCAACACCAGCAACACCGCGAGCTTCGGATGACGAATCGCCACGAAGGCTGAAGCGTGGGGATAAGGTCGGATCAGGAGATCGCAAGGTGATGGTTGAAGTAGGGTCTTGTATGCGTGTTTCGGAGACACAGCATACATCTAAAGTAAAAGTTTCAAAGGCTCTAGTCAAGGCAGCTTGTTGACCAATCTGGCCGTGTGAAGACATGAAATGGGACTAAGAGAAAATCAGATTTTGGTTACAAAGATCTAACAGCTTCTGATTGGTTGACGTTATTAGTGGAACACTGAGTGATATCCCATGGGTGGCGCAAACAGGATGCATCTCCTAAGGTTTGGGAGTGAGAAGAGGAACTAGACAGATGAGAAAGGATTTTTTCCAAATGTATATCCAAGACTGTAGGGCACGACATACTTCACGGTAGCCCACACCAACGAAGGGGTTTCTCTTTGGGAACCATAATCGGAGTCTTTGACTCAAAAGTTTGATCCGCAAGGCAGCGGAAATTCGTGGGTATTTTTCGAGGAACCCTAGCTGGAGCCTTCAAAAGTCTGACCTACAAGGCAGCGGGGCGTAGATCCTACGCGTGGGCGTGACCGAAGCACCGGTGTGGCAACTTCCAAAGACCTGTCACGCAAGGCCTTTGGGTTTCATTTCTATGTGTTGTTCACTGGTGCGTTGATTGTCGGCCCGCTGTTCGGTATTGGCGCTCAGTATCATGCACCCAATCGGATAAGTGGAATTTGAACGAAACAACACCCTATTGGCTGAAGATTTCTCAGTTTGAGGGGTGGTAGCTGTCCAATGAAATGCGAAGACTTTTTCCATCGTCGAGAAGAGGCCCCATGTACCCCGCTATCACGTTCATCTATTGGGGT